CCGCCGCCTCAGCCTGCGGGGACGGCGACAGGCAAGCGCGGGGCTGCAGTGTCCCTTGTTACTCGAGTTTGAGTGTGTGTAATTAGCTAGCATGGAGGTGTGTAAGTAACTTAATTTTTTGGCGTGTGTTTTCAGTTTTGAGGTGTCGGAACTTTCTAAGGCTGCTGATTGGGGAGAAGTTATTCAGTGGTGTAGGAAATTACAGGATGAGGGCACTGTGACAACTGCAATTACCATGGGAGTTTCAGAGGCGGGATTTGTTTCAGCGGGAAAAAATGTTTCAATTGAAAAATCAAAGTGACCAAGTGTATAGTTAAATGTTCATTCTTGTATCTGTACCTCAGATGAGACACAGGTGATACATCAACATTGGCCATAATTCATATGTGCCCATTTGTAAACAGTATTTCTTTGGAGGCCTTAATTTGTAACCTTAAAAAAACCCCACTTCTGAACTAGTAAGACAACTCCCTGGGTTCTACTTATAAATGATGAGGTAAATACAGTTCTCCCGTTAGGCAACTGTAGTTCTGCTCCTTAAAGCGCCGTCTTTGTGTGCTGAGCTTTCTGCACTACAGCCCACAGGTCTGTCCCTCGCCCTGTAACATTCATAGCATTGGGGGAGGCTTTGTGCCTACGGGATGTGCTACAGGTGATAAAAGTGGTTAACCAGTGGTTATTTTTCCTATTTCTGAGGCAAAACCTTTCAGTGACATGAATAATCTATCTTAAACGATTAGGTTGTGTGACATGGGGCACTTGAAAGATAGATGAAGATCTCTTTCTACGGGTTACTGTGTGGACTTGCACTTCATGGCATATACTTCTGAATGGGGTTCCTGGACTCAGGCAGGTGGATAAGACTACCTATACACACTAGAAAATAAAATATATATTAGAAAACTAAAATATATGTACCTTTCCCCTTATTAGCTCTTCCCTAATGGCAATGATTGGGGGTAATCATAGCAGATAGGAGACCTGTCTAAACAAACAGAAATTACCCAAATGTGGTTGCAGGAGTACTGGTTTATAAAAGAACTGAGCCAGCAAGTTTTGTGTGTGTGATGGTTTGTTTCCCCTGGCCCCTGCATCATTCTTGATAAGAATCCCAGTATGGCTCTTTACAGAATACATATTGCAACAGTGAAGCACAGCAGCTCTTTTCACACACAGCCTGTCAGAAAGAAATGAAATGGGTAAAATGCTTATCTGCAATATTATGTCTACATTTTTTTTCTCTTAACAGATACAAAGAATAGTCTAGCTCATTATTCCAATCAGACAATTGCTTTATCTAGTATGTGTTATTACGTATTAGAGAGCTAAGACTCCCAAATTCAGGTCTGTACTACATAGGGAATGTCATTAATGGTACCCCTTTTCCTCAGTGGTAAGAACAGCAAACTCCCTTTTTTCTGCCTCAGCCTTATTTGGGACGTTTCTTTCATGTCTCCAAGTCTCAGAATCTTTTCTTCCTCAACATGATAACCAAGATCATAAAGAAGAGCAAGAAAGACAGATCACCTATGTTTCTAAGAGTTTTTATACAAAATATACATCATCAGACTATACCTACTACTGTATTTCCTGTGCAACCACTGATCACGCCAGTGTACCATCCTTGGTAAAGCTAAACAGGAGTAAACCCACAAAGATCTAAGCAGTCTTGGTACAGAGCAAGAAACCCTCTATAGTATCAGCCACAGAAAAAAGTATCCAAGCTTTACAACAAGGTCTTAACCCACAGAAAACTTTTTTTTCAAGATGCTAGCTCCCATTCTGCAAACCAAGTTTGTAGGCTTCACCATCAGCCATTTCTGAGAACATTAATGATCTTTTCAGGTACCCATTCAGGCTTATGTGGTATTCTTTCATACAGCTTTTATTTTTTAAGATGTTTTATAAAAAAATGGCCTTTTCATAAGAAAAGACTGAATGACAAGTCCTGTGGACTTAATATTAGGAGTGCATACACACATTTTTTTAATTCAAGTAATTGATACTTCAGTTTGCTTAACCAGCAAAATGAGGGAAATGTGGACATTTTTATGGGGAGTTATTGTTTGTTTTTCCTTTAAAGTTTAACACCTCCTGTCAACAAATGTGTGTTGATAAACTTGTCACAAATCTGTTTCAAAATAAGAGTAACTTGCACAAACTGCTTCTCTTCCATTTCCCATAAACCCTTCTTATTATAACTGTAATGTTAGAGGAAGAGATACAGGTGCATATGCATATGCGTATGTGTGCTTAAAAAAAACAAGAAGAGATTAAATATTGGCTAAGAAAATAGGCAAAAAAAAAATCGAAGAGAGAGCAGATGGCAACATCAATGGCACGTATTTTCAAAAACGTTTGCACTTTAACTTTACTAGAACCAAGCAACTGCATTTGATAAGAAAGGTCATATACAAAGTTAAGTGAAGTGTGAAACTGATAGAAAATTTTTCTCTCATCTCACCTTAATCTTCTACCTTTTCAGTGAAGAAAGCAGTGCATACTGGTTTAAATTACACAGGTACCTTGGTGTGGGTATCAATTTATTTCCTTTTTCCCCCCTTCTATTTTGATATTTGATTCCTGCGGCATCTTATTTGCCTGCGTAAACCTCCTGTTATATATGCATTAAATAAACTTCAAACAATTCCAAATTAATCATCCTTATTTACCTGGGGAGACTGGTTCTATGTTGCTGTATGTCTTTCTGAGGCATAATCCAAACCACACTTCACCCTTAATTAAGATTTTGAGAGATTAAAAGTCATAATACTTAGCATTTGTATTTTGTTTTCTGTATTTAAAGTGAGTTTAAACACAAACTATGAGGTCAATTTCACTCACAGGCACACACACACACACACATGCAATCATGCTGTATATAAAGTTTACGCATAGTTCAGTCAGTTGCACCCAAGGGAATGATCTAGAATTAGTCGAGTAGAAGGTCAATAATGTCTGTTGCTTTGCTAATTAAGTTACTTGAGCACCTAAAGCTTTCATGCTACATATATCAGCCATCGCGGCTGGCTGACTTGGTACCTACCTCCTGCTTAAGATTAATCAAATTCATCCACGTTCCCATGTTCTCTACAACATCTGTTGAGTAGGTATACTCAGAGTACCTCTAATACATAGCCAAAGCATTTAACTTCAGCACAGAGCATGGGGGCCACAATGACTTTTATTCTAAAAGATCAGGAAAGAGAAACACAAGACAGAGAGTGCTCATTTTTAAACTGATTATTGGTGAGAACACTTATCACAGGATTGGGAGACTTAATTTTTTTCCCTTTCTGCTAAAGATGTTCAAACTTATATCTTCCAGAGTATCCAAATTATGTATCTAGAGATGAGACTTGGATACATTTTCTACCTGTGCCACAAGGAATAAGGTCAGAAAGAAAAAAATAAAGACTCTGTTTTAGGCTCACGTAATAAAAATATAATTGATATTACTGAATATATTTTCAGTCATGAAACAAATTCACCTACTGCATGTACTCCGACTATGAAGTAATATAATGAAACTATTCTTGAGACTTGAAATAATAATTGGCCATGTTATAAATATCCAACCTTGGGATATTTACAGTACCTCAGGAACCTCTACAAATGACTTTTCCAGCGATCCTTTTGCTGTCACACCTGATGTAAGTGTCAGAGCACAGAAAAAGCACTGAAAGAGGAACATATACTACTACTTAACTGTTCGCTTACATGACAGAGGATTGAGGGGTAGGTATGTCAAGTACAGTCAGAAGGAAAAGGTTGCTATTATATTTTAGAAAAACAGAGAAATATTAATAGAAATGACAGATTAGTGGCCATTGTAATACAGTAGACGGAACATATCGTCAGTCTTGATTCCAAAGTGGCAATACACACCCAAAACAATTTTATATGTCAAACTTGCAGTTAGATAGACATGAAGTCCACGCTATTAAAGGCCAGCCAACATCTGGGTGACAGGTGCTAAGATGTTAGACATAGGATATGGTGAGAAGAGGAGATGGAATACGAGGTAGGTAATAATAAACTAGGGATCTCTGTATATACTCTGTAAGTTATGTCTGAAACCATTTTACTGGTTAAGCTATCATGATAATAAGTTTATCATTCAGTAACTTGTGTTATATGTAGTCTTTTTAATTTTGTATCGTCAAACAGATCTAATGGAAAACACTGAAAACACTGTGAAATTGAACATCTTCAGAAGAGGTGGACTTTAAGGGATGATTGAGAGAACGATACTAGTGGAACAGGTAAGCAGGTAGGAAGTAAAAGCTGGCTTTTATGGGACATAGCACATGTATATTGGGCTGTCAGTTGATGGAGTGAGATACTGAGATGCATAGCAAAGAGAAAACGTGGTCTTCTGAGAAACCACATGTAGAAGAAAATCAGGAAAAGGCAGATAGGAAATCTCTTTTTTGTTTGACATTTTCCGC